TATACACTTGGAACTGGGACTTGGTTCTTTAAAAGAACTTTTCCTCCTCCAGCCATTGGGTAAAATTAGCTGAATGCACTTCTTTTACCATTAAAAACATCCACTAAAAATTATCGCCAACCAACAGCTGAATCGTATTTTAAAAAAATATTGGAAGAAATCAAGCTTTGCGTATATATCTTCATCCCAACAGTCCTCAGACTCTCCTACGTACAACTTGAGAAAATCACAGCACCTGGTAAAGCTTCACTGGGATGCCTACAATTTCCTCTCATGTTCTTTCATTTGTTTAATATTCAAGAACATGTCTATAATGCTTTTTATTTTTAAAATTGCAAAGTGGTGTTCAATGCCCATTATATTACAGAAAAATGCTTGTAGAAATGTGTGCATTGGGGAAAGACTACATTTAAAAGTATTGCCAAGAATGTGCATAACAAGCATACAGGTTTTCATGCTGACTTCTAAATAATCCAAAACTGATGTGGAAACAGGCTGAACAAAGATAATATTGGAAAAATAAGAAACCGAGTAATACCAAAGCAGACACATTCATTTTGTATCAGATATTGTTTCTGTTGTAGTTCACTTGTTTTGGAGGGATCTCTGTTCAGGCATAATGTAGGCCTGTGATTCCATCACTGTCACCTTTCTTCTATCATATGTTGTTTTTTTCCCCAAATATATTTTTCCTGAAGAAGAAGCCAGTGGAGTTTCTAAAGCTTGCATGAAGTATTTTGTGCATTTCAGTTGCCCAATAAATATATCTGGATTTGTTGTATTTTGCTGAATGGTGAGCGTGGCTATCCCTGAATATGTTTCCTGGATAAAAGGAATCAATTCAGATCTTTGGCAAGAGTGATCTGTCTCTCTTCCAGCAGCCTGCTGCTCTGGGGAAGGAAGAGAAAGGGCTGTCTGAGAGAGAAAAACAGAGAAAGGGGGAGAATTTGCCCATAGTTTTTTGTGGGTTTTTCGGGCTGTGTGGCCATGTTCTAGAAGAGTTTCTTTCTGACGTTTTACCAGCATCTGTGGCTGGCATCTTCAGAGGCTGTGGCTGGCATCCTCTGAAGATGCCAGCCACAGATGCTGGCGAAACGTCAGAAAGAAACTCTTCTAGAACATGGCCACACAGCCCGAAAAACCCACAAAAAAACTATGGATGCCGGCCATGAAAGCCTACGACTTCACAATTTGCCCATAGCCTCTTGGGTAACATCCAGTCAATTTACCTAAGGAAATGATGTCCCTCAACAGAAAAAAAAGAGGTGCCCAACCTGATTAAGAGGTTTGGAGGTTTGGAGAACTCATAGGCTTACACACACTTTTGTAACCTTTGTGTTAATAACAGCACTCCCTTAATATGGATTTTGGAATGTATAGGCTGAGTCTCTTTTATCTGGAATCCTCAAACCCCAAAATACTCCAAAATCATCCACATGAACGGCTGGGATAGTGACACCTTTGCTTTCTGATGGCTCAATGTACACCAACTTTGTTTCATGCACAAAATTATTAAGAATATTGTATATAAAATTCAGGCTATGTGTATAAAGTATATTGTTGTTGTTCTGTGCCTTCAAGTTGTTTCTGACTTATGGTGACCGTAAGGTGAACTTATCACAGGGTTTTCTTGGCAATTTTTTTCAGAGGGTTTGCTATTGCCTTCCTCTAAGGCTGAGAGAGTGTGACTTGCACAAGGCCACCCAGTGGGTTTCATGGCTGAGTGGGGATTTGAACCCTGGTCTCTAGAGTCATAGTCCCACAGCCAAACCACTATGCCACGCTGACTATCTTATGTTTTCTATAAGGTGCATACAAAACATAAATGAATATCATGTTTAAATTTGAGTCTCATCTGCAAGATATCTCATTAAGTATATGCAAATATTCCAAAATCTGAAAAAATACAAAATACAAAACACTTCTGGTCCCAAGCATTTTGAATAAGGGAGATCAACTTGCAATAGTTATTATAACAGTTTACCGTTTTGTTTTGTAGCTTGTATGGCCAATACCAATACTCCTATCCCTACAGCTGAATATATAGAATTAACTGATCTGTTGTTGCGGTTGTGTGCCTCCAAGTCATGTCTGACTTATGGTGACCCTATGGCAACCCTATCATAGGGTTTTCTTGGCAGTTTTCTTCAGTTTGCCATGGCCATCCTCTGAGGCTGAGACAGTGTGACTTGCCCAAGTTTACCTAGTGGGGATTTGTGCTCGAGTGGGGATTTGAACCCTGGCCTCCAAAGTTGTAGTCCGAGGCACAAACCACTACATCACAATTAACTATTATGCATTAAATTAACTGTGTGCTTCTTAAAAGCTAAAATAAAAAGGAATGTTGGATTTTAAACGTCCAATTGCCATACCAAAACAATGCGTCCCGAGTCCCCTTTAAGTCACTACTTCAGCCAGAAGTAGGTTTCTGCGATCAATTATTATACAAGGTATCCTTTAAAGGATTATTACTTGTTTAATGTTTGCCCCTGGAAACTGAGCAAGTAAGCAAAGTAAGCAATTGAGGTCAAATGGTTTATGGTTGGGAACAAGAGCAGCACAAACGCAGGGCAGGTTGTGGATCATACGTTGTGGTCTCTTGTTTATGCCCTTCGGTGTTTACCTAGCACAGTCTATTGCTCGATTGTGGTACTGCCCACAAGTATTAAAGCACATCCAATTCTGTCCTTAGCACTGCTCTGCCTGGATGCACTTGGCTGCAAAGGAATACGGATGGGATCCTTCTTTGACAATTATCACAACAGTACAAAATAGGTAAGAAAAGTCAGTTTTTCCTTCACATTTTAAGAGTCTCAGTTTTTAATGGAGAAGGAACAGTAGGAATCCAAATGCAGCACAAGAGAAACAAGATCCACTGTAGTAAAACAGAAAGTTTAAACCCAAGATTTTACTTGATCACTCCTACTATATTTTCAATGCTTGTGGCTGTCTACGGTTCTTTGCAGAATATGTAGTTTGGCTGTTTTTAGAGATTACAGTTTGCCTTTGTTACAAGGGAATGTTCCTCTGTTTTAATCTTTCTTGGGGCTCCTCCAAGCAAGGCAAATATGTTGGGAGATCATAATGTTTGTTGCTGTACGGCATGCAATTTTCCAAAACATCCAAAAGACGTTTCTGAGTTCCTGGACTATTTCCTGGCAATATCTGCCCAAGTATTAGCCCAGCAGCCCAATGTTACTCCAACCTTTAAGTGAGTTTCTTTTCAATTCTGAGACATATCAAAACAACAAAAAAGATCTCCTTTTCTCCGCCTTTCACTTTTTATTTATTTTTTTCTTACAGTACCACAGTGCAGCACTTTTGCAATTTTTACACTTTTGCACAGTGGACATTTTCTATTACAAGTTTTAGGGGAGAAAATTTGCCCTTCACCTGAGCAAACTATGCTCCCCAATTTATTTATTTATTTATTTTTTAAAAGTCCTGTAGAGGACCGCTAGTGTGAATCCAAGAAATCTCTTACAAACAGCCACCCAAAATAATGATATGAGCGGATGTGGATGCATGCAACAACACCTGGCAGAACCCAAGGAGCTATAGTATGGGAACCCAAAATTCTTTAGACCAATCTAAAGCATGGTGTAGTGGTTTGAGTGTTGGACTATGACTCTGGAGACCCACTGAGTGACCTTGGACAAGTCACATTCTCTCAGCCTCAGAGGATGCCAATGGCAAACCCCCTCTGAAGAAACTTGTCAAGATAACCCCATGGTAGGCTTGCCTTAGGGTCGCCATAAGTTGGGAACAACTCAAAGGTACACAACAACAACAACAACAAAGAAAAGCATAGGTTTTTGTGTGGCGAAACATCACAACAACAACAACTAAGAAAATCATAGCTACAGGTGTGGCAAAATGTCAGGAATACATTCTTCTAGAACACAGCCTCATAGCCCAAAAAACCCACAAAAACCTATGGATGCTGGCTGTGAAAGCCTGTGATTTCACAAAGAAATGCATGTTTGGAAGCCACTGTATATGTCTCAGTAAAATTATTTCCACTTGTTTCTATACACATTTCTGATTCCATTTTTCCCCCCTCGACAGCAGCGGTTCCCAACCTATGCTCCAAGGAGCCCTTAGGGCTCCACAAGTCAAAAAGATTGGGAACCCCTGCTCTTCAAGATCACATTTGGATTAGCATGAAAAAGCTTAGTAACGTTATAATTGAGGGGAGGGAAATGCTGTGCTTTTCCTCAGTGCTCCGAATTTGCAGATCCTAGGGCCACATCTTTGGCTCCCAAGAGTTCATTTGCCCCCAAATGCTTCTAAAAGCCCTCTTGGGAGCATTTTTGCCACTCTGTACCCTCCCCAATCCAACTCAGGCTCCCAAAAGGCCACCAAAAGGTGAACAAGAAGTGACTTTTGCCCACTTTCTGTTGTTAAACAGTATCTCTCTCCTGAGCCTAAAATGGCCATGGAGTGGAGCAAAAGACAAGGAAAAAATGACGCCCCCCCCCCC